GGGGGGGGGGGGAGAGAGAGAAATGATCCCTGCAGCACCCCATAAGGGAGAACCTACTGTGCCAAACTTCCACCCAACTCCAACCATCTAGAGCCAACCCACTGAAAAACAGTGCCTTCAAATGCCCAGTCCCTGCAGCCAGTCCAAAAGGATACGATGGTTGATGGCTTCAAAGACTGTAGAGTGTCCAAAATGAGTCAGTCAGTGCCTTCTCTGTCCCAAACCCAGGTCTGAACCCTGATTGAGATGGGTCCAGATAATCTGCTTTTTATAGAGTGCTCTGTAGTTGGTCCTGAACCACAATCTCAAAAATCTTCACTAAAAAGGCAAAGTTAGAAACCAGACGGTAGTTATCTAATACATTCAGATCTCTTAAGGAAGGGACAGATCCACATCTCTTAAGGGTTCCTGGCATCAGTCTCTCTTGCATTCAAACCTACCCAGATAAAATAGAAATGGGATCTTTGTAACAATTTGAAATCAGTTCTGTTCATTCTCATGATGATGGCAAAGTACAGCAGCTGAGTAAATCTATGACTAGCTCCACAGCAGTATATGTGAAAGCTAAGCAAAGGTAGTCTTAGAGAGAAAGAAAATCTATTTGGGGGTAAGAGATAAAAGGGAGGAAGTGCAAGGCTGTTGTCCCTGAAACACTCTGCCCAGATGGAGGTCCATTCATCATTTATACAGGTGGGCAACTCAGGAATGGAATCCCGGGGCTTTAATTCTCTAATAGGTGAAAAGATGAGCATTGTGAGAAGAGTTGTAGATCACCCTCACAACTCCAGTATGTAGTAATACTTGATTTTTCCCCATACCTCTCATTGTGAGAAAAGAAAGGACAGAATTAAAAATTGCTACACTTGGATGCACAGTTATGGTAATATTCATCAAAAGATATTTTTAAGTGGGAAAGAGCTTAGAAACACATCAGAAATTACGCTGCACTTGTCTAGATGTTCCCAGACGAACCCAACTATATTGGCAGGTTCTGCTTTTCTAGCACAGAGGAGCTAATCAATGTTCAAATGGAACTTCTAAGCCAAAGAATGTCTTCAAAGGAGGTGAATCTTCAAGAGGAGAGTTTTATTTTTATTGTATTGAAAAATGTAAGATACATTCAGGAAACCAAATTCATTACTTCAAGAATAAAAGCAAACCCAAATTGCTCTGGTTTATTCTCATGTAAACTGTTTTACTTCTTATATTCATTACGTCCATCAATCCATGTGTATGTGTAGGAAAGAGAAGTAATGAGAAGCTTAAACAACAAAATGAAATAATTTACTCTTCTGAATTTCTCCCAAAGGATCTTTATATAAAGGACTATTATTATCTGCAACTGCAGTCCTTAGTTACTCTAGATCCTTTTCAATGACCATAGACTGAAATAATTTAGTATACAAAAATCCACTTCTGAAATAAATATTGAATGCTTTTTGTCTAGTATTGATGTGATATTCGCTTTTCACAAGTGTAAAAAGATGGCATAATTTTGACCATTTATAAAGTGCTTCTATTGGTTCATTATCAAACAGCTAACAAGAGAAATATAAGAATACAATTAACCTGCAGAATTCAAAACCACAAGATTAGTGAGGACCACTAATTTGGATAGCTTTAAAAGGCAATCAAATAAAGTCACAGAGGACAGATCTATAAAGGATTGTTTGGGATTACCTCCAGCATGTTTTTAAATACCAGTTGGAAGGGAAAAATGGAATCTCATATTTATAAGATTTCCAGGGACATCTGATTGGCCGCTATGAGAAATAAAATGCTGGACTAAGATGGCCTTGGCTGATTCAACAGGGCTATTGCATTCATACAAATGAGACTGCAGACTTAAACATTTCTCTGGAATCTCAACTTCTTCGTTCGCACAACTGTTATGTCTACCACTTCTGGGATACTGTACAGTAGTCTCTATAGTCAGTAAGATGTGTATATTGTCTTTAGGAAAGAAAACAGTTAAAGATATTGACAAGAAGTGAGAAAGCTAAGCTTTTAGTGCAACAAAGTCAGGAGAAAAAGCAAGCACCACTGAAATCCAATAACCAGTATAAATGGAGCTGTTGAACTTGGCTTGGGGTCTAAAAGCATTTCTTTGCTGATAATACTGACAGCGAAGCCTGTTTTTCTTCTATAACTCCACGGCTCATCAGCATAGTTCTTCTAAAATAGGTAGAGGAGATCAGCAGCAGCACTGATAAGAAAGAACAAGCAGAGACATCACAAGCAGTGATGTCTGACATAACAAACCAAGGGCACCAGTGATGTAAAAGACAACTGTTTTAAATGAGGACAAGAGATACACTGAGAAAATTTTAACATTATGGTTTTAAAATGGTAATCTAGATATAGTGTTTGTTTCCTTCCACATTTATGTTATTCTCTTTATAAAAAGAAAACCCTTATTTTTTTCTCACTTCCACATATTTAACAAGCATAGTAATAGCTTTGTCATAGTTACACCCTATAGTCTATAGCGGTGTTTCTCCACCTCAGCAACTTTAAGATGTATGGACTTCACCTCCCAGAATTCCCCCAGCCAGCATGGGAATTCTGGGAGGTGAAGTCCACACATCTTAAAGTTGCTGAGGTTAAGAACACTGGTCTAGAGACATGAGGAGGAATTTTCTGCAGTATTGCCTGAAGCTAGAGTCTGAGGAGCTCAAACATCTTAATTTTCTAGCAACTAGTGCCAGAAACAACAATGGTAAATCAGTCCGTAATCACCTCTATTATCCCACATCTAAAATCAAGGAGTATTTTGCATACCCAATGCAGTGCCAATGGAGAATCCTAACTTATTTTATTTTCTAGAGGGATGTTTGCCTGCACAGTTTACCACTGTCAAGCCTATACATCTCTCATGTGAGAGTTAAAAATGGTCTTTAAGAAGTTATTGATTTCTTCTCCCTTCCAAGTAAGTTTAGAGTTTTAGTTTTGCTCCCAGCTTTCCAAAGTAGAAAAAAGAGGTCTATATAACTAGCTTCTCTCTTCCCTCTGAGCTTCGTGTTTAAAGCCAGTTACACCCAGCCCACCTGCCTGCATTTCTACCTATGGCCATATGAGCCTTGTCCTCACCTTTCCTTGCTCAAAGCATCCCCGAGCCTTGGCAGTTGCTTTCAGCAAATCCAATCCTGCTGGATCAGCTGCGAAGCAAATCCCCAAAGTGAAATTTGGAGGGGCATTTTAAGCAAGTTCTGGGCAGTTCTACAAATAATTCTCATGTGTCAGGTCATCTGTTCTGTCCTGTAAGTCCCTATTTCTCTTCTACAGTATTTTGAAATAGAGTGTCACAAAGCATGTATCGTTTGAGTCCTGTCTAACAGCTGCAGAATAATAGAATCAAGGATGTTGTTACCCAAGTTCACAAAGGTATTATGAGAGTGACAAAAGAGGTGGCATTAGGAGCAGCATCCTACTCACAGGTATATTGCACATGTCCAGCTGTTATTTGAAAACTGAATAGTAGGCTGATTCAATCACTTCTAATTTTCCTTTGAACTGGTACAAAACTTTCCTTATCTAGACATTCAGTTTTCAAATAATCTCTTCTATCACTCTTAATGTACTAAATACTAAGCAGTGAATTCCCCACGTACTGCGTAGTGCAATCCTATGATTTTTTTTTTCAAAATTAAGACCACATTGTAGTCTCCTATAATGTTTTTAGGATTGCAACCAACCTCATAAGAATTTTTTTTTTCTGTAACTTCAGGTCCTGGATAAGCTATATTCTTATGCAGTATTTTCATAAAATTTAGAATCCATCTATCTTAACTAATGAAGAACTAAAACCCTGTATGTGTATCTGCAAATACCTCAGGTTATTCTTCATAAATAATTAAGCATAAACATTTTCAGGCTATGAAACAAATGAAATGGACTGGTGATTTTGTAGATATGCACATACACGGAAACTAAGAATAACAAAAGCACTTAATTCACCAGGACAAATATTAACTGAGCTTGGACAAAGAATGTCAACTGTCTTTGTAAAATGGCGCTTTAGTAATGTTACAAAAAGCATTTATTGTGCAGTGCAAAAGCATATTTCAAACAGGCTATATACTCCTGCTACTGATTTCCCTTGTTCATCTTTGATATTTTCCAAAATTCTGTCAAAATTCACTAGTTTTTGCTGCCTGGTTTACAAAACAAACATTAATACCAGTTTGATACCATCTTCACCCAACTTATATGAATACCTTGTTTTCTAAATGTGCATTTAGCAAACCATTTTACACAGGCTAATGCTACAACCTGAATTCCTAGCTTAGTCTTTGTTATGTATTCAAGCTGAAACCGTTTTATATTATTGTAACCTCTGCTTTTTTCCACAAACACGCATACACACACACACAGAGACACTTATACATATAAACATATATTGAAATCAATAAGGAGAAATTCATATTTCTGCATTCCAAAAGAGGGGTAGCCACAGAGAAATTGAGAAGGGGTAGATTTGGGGTACTGAAACACAATATACACACCTCCCACTGCCAATTTCAAGTAAGTTATTTCCAGGTATGGTGTACAGCCAGTTAGTTTAAGATTGAGGAATGCAAGGTACAGTTTGGATCCTTACCTTTTGCCCAGAGAGCAGGTGAAAAGTCCTTTCAGTGGGAACACGTATAGTGTCTGAGAAATGCAATTTAAAAAGAGGGAGGCTTTAACAAGAGCACTCCACCCTTATCGACCACCCCGGGTGCTAGGTGCCTGACTGGAGGAATGCCAGCAGGGAACAGCTTGGAATGCAAAGCTTTGTTGCTATTTTGGCAGGGTCAGCTACAGCCTCTTGTGCAACTCATCTCTTCCCCTCCCCTGAGCCCTTATAAGCACTGGCTATTGTATGGCCTCCAAGAATTGCTATTTTAAACCTGAGATACCCAAGTGCCCAAGAGTCTGACACAAGCCAGCCAGCTGTCATTCTCGAGTGGCCTGGAACTCTGATATAGAAGGTTAGGCTCTAAGAGGGCTCCGGGTAGAAATCTGAAAAGCCAGGCATGAGTCCCAAGGCATGCTTTTGTTCTCCGTTGAATGGGATGGCCACTGATGTGTTACTCTCTGAAAAGCCTCTTTGGCAAGTAGGCTATTGCCCTTTAAAAAAAAAGCGGGGCGGGGGGGAAGGAAATTACAATAAAATCAGTTGATTTTGAACCAGTTCAACTGGATTGGAAACCAGAGCTTGCCTGAACTTCCTCAAGAAGCTCTTGGCACTTGAAGCCACCTCTTATCTACCTTTATTGTTGTTGTTTAGTCGTTAAGTCGTGTCCGACTCTTCGTGACCCCATGAACCAT